TTGACAGAAGCCATGGTGATGGGGCGTGAGAGAGAGAACTATCCAACTCAAGCCCTCCAGCCGTCCCTCACCCATGTCATCTCCTTGGCATGACTTAGCCTCGGGTTCAGAGCTGGAAGGAACTCAATAAAACAAGATATATTGTTATGGTTTCTTACGTCAATGCCGTAGGGGGAGTTACTTAGAATCCAGACAATCAGCTCTTCAATGCTATCCTCTACTATTTTGTCAATGTTCTAAATGAAGCGTCATCTAGTACCCAAGGGACTGTATTTCAAGAGTTCCCAGAAGTGCCACCTTCCCCCCTTTTGTAGGGTAACAGGAAGAGACGTGCTTCGAGCACAAACAATCTGTTCAGCTTTCCAGGCTTGGATCAGAAGAAATGTTTGTTTAGAAGTGTTAGTTGGGAAGTGTGTTTTTCCAGAGCTTTCCTAGATGCAAGTGTGTTTTTCCAGCGCTTTCTTAGATGAGAGGATAAGGACTTGGAATGCCTCTCATCCCACATTTGGCCTGTTGAAGTAGCCCTAACAGGTCTTCCTGTTGCCCCAGCTTTCGGGTCTGTTTTAGGGGAAATGTCGCTCTGTTCACAATGAGACTGCGTGTTCCTCCCTCCTCCACCTCTCCCATCTTGTCTTTTCAAAGCTATTAGTTTGCACTGGAGAAAACATGTGCCACTCTGGATTTCATGGTATGTGTAGCTTTCTGTCATAAGGTCTAGCCTAGTCTCTCTGCAGTACCACCCCCTGACCCAGCATGGCACCTGCTGCTACAGCCTATGGGTGTGTTTAGTGGTGGGCTCAGCTCTTTTGAGTTCCGTGTTAAGAGCTTGAGGTGTAATTGTCGGGTATGACTGTCCTTTCCTTTCTGTCAGGTCTCTGTTTCTCTAGGTCTGTGTCCCCCACTGTGGCTTGTGTCTCCTACAGGAGTGGCACCCAGACCTGGCACAAAATGGCAGCGAAGCACACTGTGTGAAAGTTACTCCATTCCATTTCCATTCCCTCTGATTTCATCCAGAAGTGTGTTACCATACCTTTTAAGCACCCACCAAGCTCCCTGTTTAACAGACAGAGTAGGCCTTAGGCCACAAGTAGCCAGTCAGTGGTCTTTGGCTAAAATGTAAAAACATTTTATTTTTATTTTGTTGTTGTTATAGTTACGGTCAATATTGCAGCATCCTGATTTCCTATTGACATATAGTGATAGAAAATCTATGTTTGTGTTTTTTTAATCAATCTTTATTGTTCATATTATTACAAAGGTTCCTCATTTCTTCCCCCCTCCACCAGGTTCCCACCCCACCCTCCGCCCCTCCCCACCCCCTATTGTCCTCATCCATAGGTGCACAGTCTATGTTCAGTCTCTTCCCCCCTCCACCACTCCCCTTTCCAGGAGAATAATCAGTCCACTCCCCTCCCATATCGCCGACTCTACTACAATGAACAGCTATTATTGTTCATCAAGTTTTTCAATCTCCTTTTTTGTTGTTGTTGTTGTTGTTGTTGTTTTAATTAATAAACTTTTACACTTCCAAGAATAAATTTTAAAATCTAATAATTTTAAACCTTGTTTTTTTTTTCTGCCCTGGGAATTGAGAAGCAAACTTGTTTACATGTAAACTTGCCCTTAGGCTATCAAAAGGTGTAGCCATTCAAGTGTAAATGGTCACATTGTTTAAAGATAGCTGCTGGATGGAATTGGATTACCTGTTCTGGGTGGGAAGGGCTTGTCTTCCCCTTTCTCCATTAAAATTAAGGTGCTAGCTTTAAAACCTCTTTTTGGCAAGAGACCTTAAACTTTCAGAACTTTAAATTTTTTAGATAGTAAATCAGTTACTTAGCATTTTCTCAAATCAATAATACCTCCACATGCCCAAGGAAACACTTCCCACAAAAGACATTTCCAAATAGATCAACCAACCTCATCCAGGCCCCACCCACGGCACTCACAGATCAACACCCCTGTGCTATACTAACTCAACACATCCAGATCTAAGCCTTCATCACTTGATTCAGCAGACCCTCAAGTTCCCCCAAAAGTTTCCAGCCATGTCTGAGAGGCAGCCTTGGGGTGGGGGCAGGCAAGGAGCGAGCTGTTCCGGGCCTGGCTGCTCCGGGCCTGGCCTCTGTTGATCTGGTCCATTCCACAACCAGCTGCTCTGGGTCTGGCCACTGCCGCTCCCAGCCTGGCTGCTGCTGCTCCGGGCCCGGACGCTCCGGGGCTGGCTGCTCCCGGCCTGGCAGCTGCTGCTCCGGGCTTAGCTGCTGCTGCTCCGGGCCTGGCCGCATCCGGCCTGGCTGCTCTGGGCCCAGATGCTCTGGGCCCGGCCGCTCCGGGGCTGGCTGCTCCCGGCCTGGCAGCTGCTGCTCCGGGCCTGGCCGCACCCAACTGGCTGCTCTGGGCCCGGCTGCTCCAGGCCCAGCCACTACGGGCCTGGCCGCTCCTGGCCTGGCAGCTGCTGCTCTAGGCCTGGCCGCTCCCAACCTGGCTGCTCCAAGTATGGTTGCTGCTGCTCTGGGCCTGGCTGCTCCCGACCCGGCTGCTCTGGGCCCGGCTGCTCCAGGCCTGGCCGCTCAGAGCCTGGCAGCTCCCGGCCTGGATGCTCCGGGCTTGGCTGCTGCTGTTCTGGGCCTGGCTGCTCCCGACCCGGCTGCTCTGGGCCCGGCCACTCCGTGCCTGGATGCTCCTGGACTGGTCACCCTGGGCTTGGCCGCCTCCACCTCAGGCCTGGCTGCCACTGCTCCAGGTCTGGCTGCTCCAGGCCTGTCTGTTGCTGCTCTGGTTCTGGCTGCTGCTGCTCTGGGGCCTGGCTCTTGCTGCTCCGGGCCCAGCTGCCACTGCCTTGTGCCTGGCCACTCTAGGCCTGGCCGCCGCCGTTCCAACATCTGTCCTTTCTTTTTTTAAACGCATTTATGTTGCAATGTTGGCTGCTGAGTTGAGTTCTGACTTAGTCTTCGATTTTTCAAGATCTTCTTTGTATTCTTTCTTAAGTAATTTTACTATCTTTTGCTATCACTTGATTTCTTCACATTGAAAACTTCTTCGGTTTCTTCCTCCTTGTCCTAGAAGCTCAGCAGGTTGGCCTGCGGCACCCTTTGTTCTCCATGGGCTCCTGCGCGGCTTCAGCCTATTGCCGGGTCGGCGCCTCCCAGAAGACAGCCCCCCGCCTTGGCTCCGTGGCCCGCGCTCAGCAGTTGAAGGCCCAGGGGCACCCCCCCTTGGGGGCCCCGTCGCCCGGCTCCTTGCTGGTGTCCAGCAGGGGCTCCTGCTCCTCGTCGCGTTCCTCCTAGTCTGAAGCTTTTTTTTCTCCTTCCCGCTAGGGGAGTCTAGCATCAGAGTCAACAGACTGTCCTCTGCGCGCAATGTGCGCAACTCCGGGGGATCCGCTTTTCGCCGCTCCCCTGGGATTCCGCCTCACAGCCCCGTCTCCCCCTGCCTGAGCCTGGGTTCCCAGGATCTGACCAAGAACTGGGGTTCAGTACAGTCTAAACTGGGGCCCAGCACGGCCGGAGCTCCTGTTTCCTTCCCGCCAGGGCAATCCAGCATCAGAGTCAACATTCCTTTCCTTGCGTGCAATGTGCGCGACTCCGGGAGCTTGGCCTTTTGCCGCTCCCCCAGGACTCCACCTCACAGCCCCGTCTCCCTCTGCTTGAGTCTGAGTCCCCAGGGATTGGCCTAGAACTGGGGTTCAGAGCAGTCGGGACTGCGGCTCAGCACCGCCGGAGGTTTTGTTTCTTCCCACCAGGGCAATACGGCATCAGAGTCAACATTCCGTCCTCTGCGCGCAATGTGCGCGACTCTGGGGGCTCCGCTTTTCGGCGCTCCCCTGGGATTCCGCCTCACAGCCCCGTCTCCCCCTGCCCGAGCCTGGGTCCCCAGGGTCTGGCCCAGAACTGGGGTTCAGCGCTGCCAGTTCTGGGGTTCAGCCCAGTCCAGGGCTTTTATTTCCTTCCTGCTAGGGAACGCCAGGCAGGCACCCGGCCTTCTTTTCCTCTCTGGCTGCGTCCTCTCCGCGTGCATCATGTCTCCGTACCTTAGGCTTTTTCAGCTCCTCTGATTTTCCTTCTGGTTTTCTCTTTCCTTCTTGTTGTAGAATTTTCAGTCAGTCAACTACCTGTAGCTCTGGGCAATGTCCACTCTATTTTTTAGTTGTATTCCATTGAAATTGTTGTGTGCTGCTGCGGTTAGGTGTCTACCTGAGCAGCCATCTTGGATCTTTTTCCTATCGTATGTTTTATTTTTTTAAAGGTAAATTTGCTTTATATTATTACTACTACTAATATATATATATATATATATATATATATATATATTATTATTATTATTAATTTCAGTGAAGAAGGGAGAGGGAGAGAGAGAAACAATGATGAGAGAGAATCATTGATCAGCTACCACCTGCATGCCTCACACTGGGGATCTGGCAGCAACCCGGGCATGTGCTCTGACCAGGAATTGAATCATGAATGAACTCCTGGCTCATAGGTTGATGCTCAACCACTGAGGGACTGGGCAGAAAATGTATCCTATATAATAAAAGGGTGATATGCAAATCGACCAAACAGCAGAACAACCAGTTGCTATGATGCTCACTGACCACCCGGGGACAGATGCTCAACGCAGGAGCTGCCCATAGCCTACAGGCCCTGACAACCTCTCAGTCCCTTCCCCTGGCCTGGCAGGCTCTGATCGCCTGGTGGGTGTTAGTGGGGGCAGGGCCAGTTGCCGGCAGCCAGAAAAGATGGCTCTGATCGCAGGCCAGGCCTAGGGACCATAACCATGCACAAATTTTGTGCACCAGGCCTCTAGTGTTTTAATATTTACCTAAGTTTCATTTACAGACAATTTGAAGGTTTTATGGACAGCACAGTCGTGGCAGAAATCATGAGGATGGACCGTGGATGGCCAAGGGTGGGGAAGCCCTGCTCTAATTGCCTTTTAGTATGCAGAGGGCTTGTGATAATGTGGTTCCACTTACTTACAGCTGGTTCCTTTCTCCATTCCAGGCATGGATCCTGAAAAACTAGAGCGAATCCAGCTCCCAGAGCCCAGTGCTGCTGAGAAGACCGTCTACAACCACCTACTGGCCGAAAGACTCATCAGGATCATGAACAGTGCTGCCCAGCCAGGTGCCTGGAACAAGTTGGCTGTTCACAGGGGTGGTGGAATTAGAGGGATCAGGCCTCCACACCTGATCTTAGCAGATCCAGGCAGATCTCAGCCACTCCCTCTGGCATGCACATCCGTTGACCTCGGTCTCCTCTCTTCCTCTCCCACCATGGTGTTGTTGCCAGATCCTGTCTTTCTGTCTCCTTTCCTACCCTTCTTTGGCCAGTTTTGCCAATGTCTGTAGCCCTCATCTAGGGGTAGCCTAAGGCTGTGTTTGAGCTTGTGAGTGAGTGAGTGGGGAAAAAAGATTTGGGTCAGATGCTTTTGATAATACAAGATGTGCCCAATGTCTGGCCGTGTCAGCCTAGTTCTGGATTTTAGTCAACACTGACCTGCCACAGAAGGGCTACAAATAGCAGGCAGAAGGATCTAGCACAGTGATTCTCAATTGGAGTCAACCTTGCCTCCCAAGGGACATTTGGCAGAGCCCAGAGATAGTTTTGGTTGTCACAGCTTGAGAAGATGGTGCAATTGGCATGGAGTGAGAGAGGCCAGGGGTGCTGCTAAACATACCACAATGCACAGGACAGCCCCACACAAAGGATTGTCTGACCCACAATGCCAACAGTGCCAGGGCTGGGAAACTCTGATTGCAAGGCAGATTCTCTGCAAAAGCAGAGAAAGGCTAGCAGGTTGGAGTGAATGCAAGGGAAAGGGCTCCACTGAGATGCGGCCCGAATGAGAGAACTGAGCTAAGCCATCAGGAGCAATCCAAGGAGTAGGCCCAGGTCAGGCTCAGGGAGGGGGTTGTGATTGCAGACAAAACTTGAAGAATACAGGGGAGTTGTTCCAACTAGTGGCAGAAGCACAGAGGAGTGCCCAGGAGGGAGTGCAGGTCTTGAAGAGCCAAGTCTATGGCCTAAAGAATGTCAGCAGGGGATCAGTAAACTCAACAAAGTATTTATTGAACTTTTCTGCATGCCACCACTGTGTGCATGATGGGGGCACTGGAAGTGTCCTTTGGAACCACTGCTCATGGTCTGGAAGTCCCAGTAGTCTGGGGCTCCTTGTGAAGATGGAATCTGGAACTCAAGGTGGGTCAGGGCCAGAACTAACACTAAGGGGCTCATAGGCATGTGGGTGTTTTTAAAGCCACAGAGAGAAGAGAGGCATGTGTAGGACGGAGCCCTGGGCCACTATAGGTATCTGGAGGAGACAAGGTGGGCAAGCACAGGAGCCTGAACCAGGCCCCACATGGGAAGAAGTGGAGCGGGAGGGGGTGTCTTGGGTGGCAAGAAAGATGTGTGTAGCTCAGGACCACGGGGCACTCGGCTGGGTCAGTTTCTGCTGAGAAGATTGGTCAGGAAGGCACAGTGTGTCCCTGAGGATGGTGGTCAAGAGGCAGTTGGCAGGAGCTGTGTGAACAGACGTGGCTTCGTGGTGGAGAAAGGTAGACTGGCCTGGATATTGGGAGAGGAACCTCCAGGGTGGGCAGGGACAGCGGGCCTCTTGAGGGCCGGTGTGTGGAACAGCCTGCATTTCTGAAGAGAAGAGGTTGGGGCAGCTGAGAGGGACAGTCTGGAAGCTGTGTTGATGACTAAAGAGCTCACTGCTCCCTCTGTTTCCCTCCTGAGATAAGCCCAGTGGGAGGAAGTCAGCTTATTGCGGCAGGAGCTTGCAAAGGGAGAAGGGTCTTGGTGGAATATCCCATTCCATTTCCCTGAAGGCAGCAGCAGGGGTGTTTCTGACCTGCCAACTGTGCAGCTCAGTGGAGGTGCAGGCAGGAGTGACACTGGGCTCCGGAGAAACTACTGAACTCTGATGAAGACAGGTGGGGGTGCCATGTGGGCAGGGCAGTGGCACAGAAGGGCTCGTTCTGGGGCAGTGGGGCTGTGGCAAGGAGAATGACTAAGCTGAGACTACCAGCCTTTTCCCACGCAGCCCTGGGCTTGGATCATGCTGAGGAAGGCCTGTTTCTGCTTGCATAGAGGCTGCTCATTTTTGAGCAAACAATGCCCTCTTCTCACCTGTTTCCCATCTGACATGAGGCATCAAAGGATGGGTGGGGAGGTATGTCATGGTATATTTGCATTGATTTTTACTAGTGGCCCTCCTGGTCCCTGTTAATACAAACCAAACTCATTCTGGCTGAAACAATAAAAACAAAAACAAACTGTTGGCTTATGTAATTTCAGGTTGTTGGGCACTAGCTTCAGGCACAGCTGGATCCAGGGGCTCAAGCACTCTTTTCAAGGCAGTCTTGGCCTCTGCAGCTTCTGTGTTGGCAAGTTAACTGCCAGCAGCTTCAGCCATCCCTTTCTCTGCTGGGGCCTTAGACATGCTCTGGAGAGACACTTGGGTAATCTGGTGGAAAGGGGGGCTTGGGACTCAATTTGCAGAACACTTAACCAAAAATTGCAAACACTGGTAAGAATGGGGAAGTGACCACTGTGGATTAAAATGCTTGTGCCACTCAGGGCCACACCACTATTCCTGTCCTCTCTGCAGCCCAAATGGTTCCAGCAAGTTGTGGAATTGAGCCTTACTAGCTCTGACTGACTCCTTTGTCAGTTCCCTACCCAATTACTATGATCCAGGATAGAGCACCCTGACCAGCCTGGGTGACGTGCCCACCCCTAAGATGTCGGAAGGGGGACCAGCTCCACTCAAATCACATGGACAATAGTGGGGCTGGTGCTTTCCAAAGGAAAGTGGGGGTGCTTATTCCTGAAGAAGGGAAGGGAATGCTGGGCAAGCAAAGTAAGCACAGAGGCCACTTCCTAGACCTTCAGTACTAATTAATTAGTGCCTTTTTTTCCCTGTGTTCCCTCTCCCGATGAAGAGACTAAAGGGGAGTATTAGGTCTAAGCAGTTTTACTGGGAGCATTTAATTATAATTGATTGGGAAAAGGGTTGGCAAGGGTTGTCCCTGCTGGAAGTCAGGAGCCTTGAACAGTCAGCTGATCAGCTGACCTGTTAACCTCAAAGCTGGAAGGCAAGAAGCTGTGATTCAGGGCATGTAGCCCTGGGTTTGCAACGCTGACCCCGGTGTGCTCTGCAGATGGGAAGATCCGGTTGACAACACTGGAGCTGAGCTGCCTGCTCCTAAAGCAGCAAGTGGTGACCAGCACGGGCTGCATCATCAAGGATGTGCACCTAGCCTGTCTGGAGGTAAGGGACCTCCACACGCCCAGTGCCCGTGAGCCACTGCCACTGGGAGAGTGAGGGAGCCCTGGTCCGTGTGGCCACAGCACCAGCAAGAAGCTGGGCCCACTGGCACCAATGCCCTGTGGCAGCCCTGTTCCCACAGAATAGCCCTATAATTTAGTAGTTCTGTTATAAATCATCTCCAGGAATAGAAATTCTTTTCGTATTACAAAAGTTTTATACATGGATGAACATGTAGATATATTTATAGTTTATTGTGCTAATATCTATATTTGTTGTTTTTAAATAGCTTACATGGTTTTCCCTTTATTTTCCATGTTTATTTTAGAAATTTAGAAGGTACAGTTGTTAAAAGTAACTATAGTTGACATTTTGGTGTGTGTGTCTTTCTAGATACACAGATACTCAGATTTAAAAAAATAAAAATAGAGTCATGACCTTATTTTATAACCCATTTTCCCTTACTTAGCTGTATATTAACAGCTTTCCATGTCACAATGAATCACCTATCCCCTGCTCATTTCTTATTTTGAGCTCTCTCTCTCTCTCTCTCTCTCTCTCTCTCTCTCTCTCTCTCCTTTCTCATTAAAACCCACTTATACTAGTAGATTAAGGATATTAGCCCCATATCTGTCTTATATCCACTCAGATTTTAGAATCAGTAATTTACCCAGTTCACTTGCCTCCATGACACCTGCCTCCACATCTTCCCTCTTTTACAGGGTGCGAGAGAAGAAAGCGTTCACCTACTGCGGCACTTTTATAAGGTAAACTGGCAGTGCACGGGGCTCGGCAGGGTGGTATGTGTTGTATAAACAGGGTTGTGGAGTCTGCCTGTACACACAAAGGTTGCATGTCTTCAACTTTTCTGCCCAGGTCCTCCTTATCAGTACAGCTTTCGAAGACTCACCCCTAGTGTGTGACAATTTGTTTATCAACTCGATATGAATTTGTTTATGGATGGATTCATATGTAGATTATGAATTATATCTATACATGCACACATGACTAAATTATGCATATGAATTTACATATTCATAAATTATATTTGCTTCTACATATAAAATTACTTATGAATTTCATATGAACTTATGAATTATATACATGTATATTATTTAGATACATTTTTGCTGAGAAACATCATACAGGCTTCCAAACATTTGTCATTAAGTTTAGTGAGATTTTGTCAAGACAAGGACCATCATGACTTGACAGTATCTGAAAAATTTATAGATTTGCATTTAGGTTCTAGGTGATTACTTTTTAAATATCTCATTGTGATGGTTTTGATTAACTCTTAGCTTAAAGCATAGTATATTACTTGGCAAAGCTCATCATTTGTCAGCAAGAGTGGATTAATCTGTGTGTCAAACTGTCTAGTAGATTTCTGTTTTTTTGGCCTCCACATCAGATCTCTCCAGATCCAGTTAGTGATGGTTCCCCCAGTAATTTAACCGATGATGAAGAGATCCTCTTAGGAGATGGTGTCAATACTGCTGTTTCGTGCCTCTGTGCTTCATTTTTTGTATTCTCTCTAAACTTCTGTGGATTATATACATACGAGAGGCCCGTTGCACAAAGATTCATGCAATAGGCCTTCCTTCCCCTGGCTGCTGACACCCAGGATCCAGGCCTGGCCGCTGCCTTCTGTCTTTGTTCTGGCCAGAGCCTTCAGTCTTCGCTCTGCCTGGAGCGCCACTCCTGTAGCTCCCTCTGCCCCCTGCCCTCCCTCTCAGAGCAGGCTCCACACCTGCATGCGTGCTGCCCAGAGGCCTGGAACGTCTGGGGTGGAGCTGCAGCCATCTTTGTTGTGTTAATTTGCATATGCACCCCTGATTGGCTGGTGGGCATTGCAGAGTGACAGTTAATTTGCATATTTCTCTTTTATTAGTGTAAATATACAAGAAGTCTTTCTTTGCAGGATACTCTTTTCTTTTAATTTACATGTAATCTTTTTTTTTTTTTTAAAACACATTTATTTTGATTTCAGAGAGGGAGAGAGAGACAGAAAATCATCAATTGGCTGCCTCCTACATGTCCCCCACTGGGTATGGAGCCCACAACTTGGTCATGTGCCCTTGACTGGAATCGAACCCGGGACCCTTCAGTCCATAGGCCGATGTGCTCTATCTACCAACCAGGGCTGCAGGACACTTTTAAAGCCACTGTCTATTATTGTCCATGTTCACTGAAATAAAGCCACTTCATGTAATCTGGAAATCCACCTCCCCAGTGTCTGATGACCCCCTGCAACTGCAACACAATGGGCATGCCCAGACAAATGTGGCTCCCCTGTGGCCCCCACACACTGGGGAGGAAATCCTAGTCTCCCCTTAGACCAGTGGTCAGCAAACTATGGCTCGCGAGCCACATGCAGCTCTGGCCCCTTGAGTGTGGCTCTTCCACAAAATACCACAGACTGGGTGAGTCTGTTTTGAAGAAGTGGCGTTAGAAGAAGTTTAAGTTTTAAAAATTTGACTCTCAAAAGAAATTTCAATCGTTGTACTGTTTTGTTTTTGTTTTTTTTAAATATATTTTATTGATTTTTTACAGAGAGGAAGGGAGAGAGATAGAGAGCTAGAAACGTCAATGAGAGAGAAACATCGACCAGCTAGCTGCTTCTTGCACACTCCCTTACTGGGGATGTGCCCGCAACCAACCTACATGCCCCTGACGGGAATCGAACCTGGGACCTTTCATTCCGCAGACCAATGCTCTATCACTGAGCCAAACTGGTTTCGGCGCAATTGTTGTACTGTTGATATTTGGCTCTGTTGACTAATGAGTTTGCCAACCACTGCCTTAGACCATCCTAAGTGAGGATGTGTGTCCTCTAGCAAAGCTTTAAAGAAGGCAGAGACTTCATGCTTGCATCTGTCATCTTTGAGTCTCCAATGTAACTTGTTTTTAGTGTATTTATCCCCTAGAAAGCTTCTGGATTACAAAAACAGAAAGACACGTTAGTAAGCATTTTCCCCAAAGGTTTTTGTTTGTTTGTTTGTTTTGTTTTGTTTGTTTGTTTGTTTGTTTGTTTGTTTTTTACCATTGACAAAAGTGTTAGAGCTGTAACCGGTTTGGCTCAGTGGTAGAGTGTCGGTCTGCAGACTGAAAGGTCCCAGGTTCGATTCCGGTCAGGGACATGTATGTTGGTTGCGGGCACATCCCCGGTAGGGGGTATGCAAGAGGCAGCTGGTCAATGTTTCTCTCTCATCGACGTTTCTAGCTCTATCTCTCTTCCTTCCTCTCTGTAAAAAATCAATAAAATATATATATTTTTAAAAAAGCGTTAGAGGCACCTCTAACTGACAACAGAGCGGTGTTACCAGACAGCCCCCTGAGTCAGTGGGAGAGGGCTGTTTCCAACCTCAATCCTGTCGTCTGATATAAATAAATTTATACTAGAGACCTTGATGTATTGTGGTAAAGCCAATTTATTAAAGCAATTAAAGCAAGCAAATTTATTAAAGAAGCATGGCAAGCAAATCTATCATCCAGCCTAACACACACAGATGGGCTCTCAGCTAATCTGAAGAGCGAGTTGGGTGAGGGTCCTGCAGACCCTCCTGTCTACAGGCTTCAGAATTCCTTTGCTGAATATTTTGTACGGGTTAATTCTCAAGGTCCCTTTTTACTTTGTTGTGGCCTTTCCAGAATTCTTGAGAAGCACCTGGCAACTTGATCTCGCCAAGCTTCAAGACTGCTAGCTTTTCTGCTTAGGGAATAAAATGGCCTTTTTTCCCTCTTTCTCCTTTCTCCTCCTTCCTCCATCTCTTATTAAGGAGGTTTTTAACCATTTGCTCTCAAGTGTCCTTGGCTGGGAAAGATAATGGCTTATTTATAAGCTTGCTGCAAATTGTCAACACTGTTTGGCCTTGTTTTGACTTTCCTATCTCAGTTTCCCTATTTTTCCTGCCCTGGAATCCTGTAAAAAAAAAAAAAAAAAAAAAAGGAGAGCTTATACTGCAGATTCTCTAATAGCATTTTGTTCAATGTCACTTTTTTATAATGTTGAGGGGAAGAAATTGATTCCTAGCCTGGGCCACCTGTGGAGTTTGCATGTCTGCAGAGGTTTTCTCTAGGGACTCCAGTTTCTCTCACATCTCAGAGATGTGCATGTGGAGAGAATGAGTGTCTTCATTGTCCCAGTCTGACTGCGTGTGGCTGTGTGAGTGGCCTGGGAAGGGCATTCTGTCCTGACCTGCCAGGGCAGGCAGCCACCTGCGACCCTGACCCAGAATAAGTGTGTTAGAAAAGAATGATCTGCCTGATTTTTATTAATGTTTCTTAAATGTTTAATATTAGAAGTGTTTTTAGGTTTTTATTTAGAAATGTGTGATGTTTCTGTGACCAGAGATATGCTATAGGAACTTAACTCTTGTATATATCAATTGAGCCATAGTAAAATTGGTTTCATTTTATGTCATCTCACTGAAAGTCAGTTTCCTAGAACCTTTCGACAATGGTAAGTAAGGACTTGTATTTGAATTGTAGCTTCCTTCTCCCAACCCTGCTTTCTCTGTCTTTCATCCTAACTATAATATCTGAGAACCTTTTGGGTTTTCAGGGGCTGTTATTTCTGTGGTTATTACCTGGTATTTACACCACACAAGAATATTTAAATTTATCTGTAGATCTGATAACTGGGAATAAATATATGAAGGACCTATTGCTTTTCCCATATTGACTGCGTGTGGGATGTGTGTGCCAGAGAGAGAAAGGCAGGAGGGAAGGAGGGAGAGGTATTCAGGACTTATGAGAGAGACAGGACAGTTCTAATGGTCATAATACATTCAGCTGGACCTCCCAGCCCCTCCCTAGCTGTGGTCCCGTCCAGTAGTGACCATAATGACTGTGGGCGCTAACACTTAGCCCTGATTGAGTGGCAGGCTCTGTGCTCAGCTTTTTATGTGTGCTTACTCATTTCATCTTCACAAAGACCCACACAGACAGGGGCTGCCATCCCAGTCTCTCAGGGAAACAAAGAGAGTCTCGATGAAGTAAACCTGGGACTTGGCCCCTGGTTTATGTGTTGGAGTCAAGTTCACATACCAGCCTGTTTTGAGAGGGACTTCCTAGACAGTCCTCAAGGCTGCAGGAACTACAGAACCTCAAAGGCATGGCTCAAAAACAAACGGAGCAGGCCTATAATTTTAGTGTTAAGCATATTTAATTATACTTTTCCTTCAGAGGTGTGGAGCCTCATGGTTTTAACATGGCAAGTTGACCAGGGTTCCCCATTCCTCAACCATGCTCCACAAATAGAGGATGATAAACACTTGAAACGTTAACCATTTTAATATTTTAATTATCTGTGGTGTTTTTTGTGTGTTTTTTTTTGGTTTGTATTTTTAACTAACTGCCTTGACAGAATAAATCTAGCTACATATGCTTAAGCAAGAGAGAAAACTGTTGAGAGGTGCAATTTGATATCTAGGCTTTCGTTGGAGCATGTGTTCATGTTCACGTGTGCATTTTACTTGCTGGTGATTTACGAGAACCCTCTAACGAGAAACAGATGGTCTCAGAAGCCGTGAACTAAAGTTCATAATACTTAGTTGTTTATGGGGGGAAATATGCATAATTTTCTCTTCCCTCTTTTAGGGAGAAGAAATATTTTTGGATATGTTTGAAGACGAGTACAGGAGCATGACAGTAAGTGAGGGGCCAGAAGCACCTGTGTTCCCATAAAGCTTGCTCAGCCAAACCAAGAGAGGGTTGGAGGGAAGGAGGGAAGGAAGGAGAGAGGGAGGAAGAGAGAAGAGAGGAAAGGAAAGGAGAGAGCAATGACTTGGGGCTTTTTGCCCAGATTGCAGAGATTGGTAGGGAGGTAAACTGGAAATGGTGATCCCCGCCACTGCGGAAATTTCAGATGACATTCACTCTCCCTGGTTCCTAAAATAGGTCAGGAAGATTCACTTTGATATGAATAGTATTTGATTAAGGACTTACTCTGTGACAGGTGTGGAAAGCCTGTGACACATGTTAAATCTCTCATCCCCATGCCGACCCAGCGGAGTAGCTATCATTAGCCTCCTTTTACTGATAAGGAAAGGAGAGTCAGCTTAAATGAGATGCCCACATGTGCCAGCCAGAGAGGGGCAGAGAAACTTGCCTCTCAGTCCCAGCCTTTCTCTCTACAGTATGCCACCTCCTCCTTTGCCATGCCACCAGAATGTTCCGAAATGTTCCTTGAGTTGCAGTGCCAGCCCAAAGCCTTCCTTTTTTGCATCCAGCAGGCAGAATTGTGGGAAAAGATAGGTTTAGCAGATTGCAGGTTTCTCCTTTCTCTCTGCATCCCCAGCACCTGCCCCTTAGTTGGCACTCAATAAATAAATGATAAATGATTTTTTCCCATGGAAATTACTCACCGAAAAATGAAGTGATTCTGGAAGATTATAATGAGCCTAAGTGTTTAAAGTGTCCAAAATAAAAAGGCAGGCAGCATGCACTAAGTGGCTCCCTGGCCCATTCACCAGGTTTCCTGACAGCTGGGCCTTCACCACAGCCTTGCCCTGCTTAGTTAGCTCTGGTTAGGAGGGACAAAAAAATGTGACTGAAGACCACATTCTAAAAGACACAAAAATAAGCTTGTGGTGCTTTAAGGAGTAAAATGAATTCTATAGAAAATGTACCTTTGTGAAATGTCATTCCTTTATGATGCCAGGCATAAATGAAGTGTCACTGTCCAACTTGTGTACAGTAAATGGTCAGTACTGATGCAACAGTTTCAGGAGGGGAGGTGACATTACAGTGTCTTAGTAATCAGAGATGGTGGTGTGGAAAGAGGAGACAGCTCTGCCCCTGACCGGCCCAGTGGTTATGGACATTTGCCCTTCCTCTGAGCTCAGTATCCCCCTCTGTGATATGGGACCACACCAGCACCCACCTCCAGTAGGAAGTAAGCCTTGTGGTGCCTGCCACTTAGCAGATGCTCAGTAAGTGGCTTTGTTCTGTTATCTCAGGTAAGATGCTAAGGGGGCAAGGAAGATAGGGGGGATGTTGGTGCAAATCATAGGAGGTCGAGCCAGGTAAGCCTGCGTCTGTGTCTTGGTTCCGCCACCAGCCCACTGAATGGGCCCAGATCCATTCCTCAGCTTCTCTGAATCTTTTTTCTCATTCGCAGATTGGGAAACATTCCCTCTGCAGTTGTTGGGGAGAGTTAAACAGGATCCTACAAGCAAAGCCTTTAGCTTGTCACCTGCCCCGTAGTCCATTCTCCTTAAATGAAAGCTGCCATCACTGTAACTGTGTCATCATAGCTGAAGTACCGAGAGGAGGAGGTGGGCAGCAGTCACGTGGGCCAGACCACCCTGAAGGGACCACAGTAACAGGACTAGCCTCCTTCCTGAGGACCCCCTCCCTTCTGGATGGAGGGGAATGAGGATGAGAAAGCAAAGCTTTTCAGAGCAGGGAGGCCATTTCTCAAGAGCGCCAGAGCTGTCACTTCAAACAAAGGGGAAATCTGTACCTTAGAAACAAAAAAAAAGCCATCTCACACACCTGCCTGCCTCCAGGCTTCTCCTCCGTCTTAATCCAGGGTTCAGGTGCTGAACTGCCTGTGTGACTTGCCCTGCCCCCTTCTCCTTCCAGTGAGGTCTCTGTGATGTCTCTCTTCCAGATGAAGCCCATGAACGTGGAATATCTCATGATGGACGTCTCCATCCTGCTGCCCCCCACGGGCACGCCACTGACGGGCATTGACTTTGTGAAGCGGCTGCCATGTGGTGACGTGGAGAGGACGCGGCGGGTGAGTGGGCACTGGATCTGGCCTCTCCTGGCAGCTGTCTGCCAGGACCACTCAGAGCAGGGGAGAAAGGTCTCTGATCAGGTCATGAGTCCGCCTTCCCACAAAGTGCAGATAGTAGGAAGACAGACAACTCCTGCTACACCCCGCAAGAGGAGAAACTTCCCCAAGCAGCTGCCCTCTGCTAAAGCAGGGATTGGAATCCCATTGCATCTGGCACCGGGGTGGGTTGCAGGCAGACTGCCTTCCCTGGTGCAGCCCTCTCCCCTCCCCCCCGAGCTTGGGAGAGGAAGCCAGGGGCCGGGTCTGCACAGGACATGGGGGAGTGAGCAGAGCCAACACAGTGCAGGTGGGGCTGGCATGGAATCAGCCCAGAGAGGCTCAGGACACCCCACGATGGTGTGATGTTAAGGTATCTGAGTGATCTCGGGGTGAGGCACAACAATTGAAATGGTGGTTCTTGCCGGCCTGCGGGAGAGACCTGTGTGAAGGGTAGACTAGTTCTCAGAACCCAGCTGGAGTGTGTGCTTCCGTTATCAGCGTTTTTTTCTGAAGCAGTCTCATGGGGCTGTTCATGGTATTTTATCTCCCTCGTAAGATTACACTTTCTTTCTTAGAAAGCACCATAACCTTTTCCTAGAAAATCATTCTCTGGAGACGTGAATGCTAGTGGATAAATTAGTGGAATTCATTGCACTCAGCTCTCGTTATCGGCCTGTATCTTTCTGTGAGTTAATCCGCTTGTAACCAGAGCAGCTGAGGTGTTTTAGGTTTTGGATTATGAGAAGCAGGCAGGACCTGCTAGATCTGCCTCAGACCAGAGGGTTCTGTGGCCTTCCTCCACCCCGCTGGCAATTTTGCCACAGAGGCCTGGGGGGGCGGGGCAGAGGAAGTGGGACCCATGTGTCTTAAGTCAATCCGCGTTCCTTGCAGTCTGACCAAACCCACAGGCCTCACCACAGAACACGCCCTGTCCGAGCCAGTGACGCCTGCCTTCCGTGTGCTCCCAGCCAGCGCTGCAGGCCCTGCAGCGGGCACACGATTGTGTTTGTGGGTGGTGATGTTTGCAATGGGCATTCTTGGCATCAGCTTTTACAAGAGACTGGTTCTGACAGGTGTGAGTCGTATCCTTCATGGTGCAGGCACGCTCACCCTTAGCCTTGGGTTGTTCTAAGACAGTGGTCTGCAAGCTCATTAGTCAACAGAGCCAAATATCAACAGTACAACTATTGAAATTTTTTTGAGAGCTGAAAACCGACTTCTGTGCATGGGCAACGAAGTTTCAACCGCACTGTACGTGCACACCCACTGGTGGTATTTTGTAGAAGAACCACACTTAAGGGGCCAAAGAGCCACGTGTGGCTCACGAGCCACTGTTTGCCGACCACTGGTCTAAGGGGTGCTCCCCAGCAAGGTGACAGTGAAGCTGCCCACCCGGTTGGGCTGCATGTCTCTGAGGTTCTCTAGTCTTTTGAGCCAGAAGGTGCTGCAGAAGGCTGTGAACGCTGAGAGCTGCCCCTCTGGGCTGCATCCTGCCTCCTTTTCTGGGACATGGTCCATCAGGCTTTGTTAACAGTCACACGAGCTCCCATTCTTTATTATAAAGTGGATTGTTCATAGCAGTTCTTTAAATTAATTTTCTCACATCATTCTACAACTGTTCTAGGAGGTTGTCATTACTATTATTTTCATCTTCCTGAGGAAGAAACTGGGGCACCAAGAAGTTAAGTTATTTATTTGCTCAAGGTCACCCAGCTATTAAGTAGCAGAGCCAGGCCCAGCTGGTGTGGCTCAGTGGTTGAGCATTGGCCTATCAACCAGGAGGTCACGGTTCAATTCCAAGTCAGGGCACATGCCCCCCCAGTTGTGGACTTGACCCCTGTAGGGGTGTGAAGGAGGCAGCCAATTAATGATACTCTCTTACCATTAATGGTTTTTTAAAAATATATTTTTATTGATTTTTTTACAGAGAGAAAAAGAGAGGGATAGAGAATTAGAAACATCTATGAGAGAGAAACATCGATTAGCTGCCTCTTGCACACCCCCTACTGGGGATATGTCCGCAACCAAAGTACATGCCCTTGACCGGAATCAAACCTGGGACCCTTGAGTCTGCAGGTCGATGTTCTGTCCACTGAGCCAAACCGGTTTCAGCTCACCATTAATGTTTTTTTTTTCTCTCTCCCTCTCCCTTCCTCTATGAAATCAATAAAACTATATTTTTTAAAAGTAGCAGAGCCAGGATTCAGCTCAGTTGGGGTGGCCTCAGAGCCACTCTGACTCACTGCTCCTCATTGCTCCCTTCATTGTATATATTAGTGCTACTCAGCACTGGACACCAGGGATATAAGAAACAAGGAATCAGAATCTAGAGGGTGAGGGTGGAAAGAGCAGCATCAACCCATGTGGCTGGGGCTGGTAGGAACGGAACATGGGGTCAGGCCCCTAATCCTATCTGGAGAAAGGCAGGGAGCAGACACGGGAGGGATGTGGAACATTCCAGCACCAAGCAGAGACTGTGGCTGGAGCCAGAGTGAGGGAGGCTACATAGGAAGTGATGAGTTGAGGGGCTGGAGGCAAGGCCCTTGGCCCTGTTAGCAGATTCCTGACACCGTGCTCTGCTGGCTTAGGGCAGACAGACCCGATCCACAGGAGAAATGAGAGAAACTCGAGGCTGAGGCATATGGCAGAGGAAGGGTTGCCTGGGCTTTGGAGTTCCTGCTCCCTGGTAAGCCACTCTATCGATCTAGAAAGCAACATGCGCCCGCCTTGCCAGAGATGTGAGGACTCAGTGAGAGGCAGAAACACTGGAAACCAGTGGCAGTTCCTGATGACAGGAGTTTGCTTCTTCTCATTGTCCTTTACGGCTCACTTAGCTACAAGTTCCTGGGGCTGTGCTGCCCACCTCCCTTGCCCCAGATATGTTGTATAGTCCTAACTAATACCTGAAGCATGGACAGAACCTCTGGGCACATCTGGACTTCCCTAGGGCCTTTGATCGGCTTTGTCTATCTGACAAGTTTATAAAAGCAAATCAGGGCCCATGGATTAGAGCCAGAGAGAAGGTTAGTATTAAAATAGGTTGGCCACCCGCAAGCACAGCCATCCAAGAAACTTCCCCTGTTTACTTCAAGAATCAATTTCTGTTTTCGGTCTAAGTATAGTTGGCATACAATGTTATATTAGTTTCAGGTGTACAATATAGTGAAGAATTGGTTTCTGAAGGGGAATTTCCACCACTTACCTCAGTCCAGTTCCTATTGCAAGGTAGCTAGCTATTTGGAATCCTCCAGAAGCTTAGCTCCTCAGCCTGTTTCAGACATGAGAGCACGGCGGTGTGCTTTGAATTTGAACTTAAGGAAGTGTATGGTTTAGCAAGCAATTGAGGGCTTATGTGGTTTGTTTCAAGTTCTTTGCTTGTATCCAAAGAACATTCCATTTCATCTTTTGGAGTCAAAGGCTTTTTTTTTTTTCCCCTACTAACTAGACTTTTCTAACTCTAGGAGGCTGAGCGTTTCAGAAATCCCACCCTTTATTTTCCTTAGGGACTTGTGAGAGAAGTTCAAACAACCGGACTAGTGAATCATTGCTAACTTGTACACTGTTCTTCATACATTCATCAAAGAACCACTAGATTCCCGTGCCAAATGCTAGGGACCAGGGAAAATGTCGCTGCCTTCTGAACCTCCCATGAAATCGGGAGAGGTAAAGTTTATTAGCAAGTAAGCAAATGGCAAGTGTGTTGTCACTCTGCAGTAAAGGCTCTGAAGGAAAGGGGGCTGGCACTATGTTAGATATATAGCCATATTTCATAGGAGGAAGGCTCCTCCGACAAGGTTGAGACCTGAGCTGAAACTGAAGAGCGAGAAGGAGGCAGCCATGCAAATACTGAAAGGAGGCACTTCACAAATACTGAAAGAAGGCAACAGTGAATGCAGAGTTTCTGATGGGGCAGAGCACAGCGTGTTCAAGGAGCTGGGTAACTGGAGCAGAGTGAGTGAAGGGGCCAGGAGGAGGGGGAGGGGCTACCAGAGGAGGGATGCAGGGACTCGCAGGCCATGGAGAGGCACCTGGCAATAAAGTCATATTTTCCTCATGCATTTTGCAAATTACACTTTTTATTCTTTCATTTGACATCTTTATTAAGCATTTTCTAGATGCTAGGCACTGTAAGATGTAAGACTAAACAGTGAACAAATAATATAAGAAAGATCAAAATAGTAAGATTATTGCTTGGTCATGACAGCTGAGAAGGGAAATTCATGTTGAAATGAGGGTCACAAGAACTACTGGGGTCTGATGAGAACACGAAAGCAGAACCTAAGACTTGGGCTGGACTTCCCCCTGTGCCAGTGGTATTTGAGAGAAAGCTCGTCAATCAATCCCAATTCTAGCTGTGTGACCTCAATCAAGTTACTTAATTTCTCTGTGCCTGAACTTCCTTCTGTGTCCTGCCTGTCAGCCCTTGCTGTAGATGAGAGAGTGACTGGGAGGTGACAGAGCCCAGTGCCTAGCAGGCAGTAAGCACTCAGGGAATGTTGGCTGAACACTGGTGGAGCATTCCAGCACCTTAGGTGGGAAAGGAATAGTCTTTATTGATCTAAATCTACCAAAGTTTAATGCTAAGGAAAAGAGCTTGGGAGACAATTTTTTGGTGGATATCAAACTCTGAATGTAAGACACTAGCCATTTTTATGTTAATAATCTTGGAAAACATTATGAAGTAGATTATTTGCATAAAGTTTTATTTGTCCCTGCATTCTATTTCCCTGTTCTCTTGTGAAACCACAAATAATTTTTGTTTATCACTACTGGCCTTGAGGAAATAGGATATTTTGCTTTACTTCTTGGATATTTATTATGCATTGAAGAAAATACAGTAGCACCTCATGAAGAGGGAAAAATTTCCCATGATTTCATCAACCTACACAATCAACACTTAGACATTTTTTTGGTCTCCTCCCTATCTTTGCAAACACATCCTAACATGCTTTCAGGGAGCGTGTACCATGATTTATCCTCACACCCCTTTCTCTTTCCTTTGTAGAGCAAGAAGTTTGTCGTGTGTAATACAATTTAATAAGTCTACTTTCTTACTGGTGCATAAAAGTCTATCTGGTGGCTTCTGCCATAATTTACTTAGACATTTTTCTGTTGGTAGACATTTTGGTTGCTTGCAGTCTTACATTATTTTCAACTGAACTGTAATGAGCAGCTTCACAGTGTTTTCTTTCTTTTGGCTTATTTCTTTAGGATAAGTTCCCAGAAGTGGAATTTCTGGTTCAAAGGGTATGAATATTTGTGTGTGTGTGACTCTCTACATATTGCCAGATTGCTTTCCCAATGGGCTGTGCCCACTCTAAACTGCTTCAGCACTCTTAAGAAATGACTGACTCTCACAACCACGTCCACGGTCTTGGTGGGCTGCTAACCTGAGTGACTGTCGCCTAAACACAGCAGCTTGCAAATGCAGCAAGGGAAGCAGGGGAAAGGCTCCAGCAGAGCCTTTGATCCAGGACCAGCCCAGGGCTCAGTGTGTCACCTGCACTTGGTCATTGCATGTTTGTAGTGGCCCCATGATCTCAGGGTGGTGGGTCCCCATTTCCAGAGCTTGAACCTGGGCTTGGGGAATTCATGCTACTTGCCTGAGCCCAAGTTGAGTCAAGGTTTGCCTGACTGAACCCATCCTTCTGCCCTACTCATCCCGAGGACTCTCCTTGCCAGAGTTTGCTCCCCATGCATTGAAGCCAACTGGAGGAGTTCTTTCTATCTGAATGTAGTCAGCTGTCACCCTCCCCAAATTTAATCTGCTCTTCCAGAGTCAGTCTTCCTGGCATTCTGTGGAAGCACCTCAAAGAATAATTCTTTTTCAGTATTACTTTTAAATTTGCATGTTTATTTAGCAAAGTAAAGTACTTGGTAAAAGGCTGGATCCCAAGCTTAAATCCATTAAAGGCAAAGGCATGTGGTTGGAGGAACATAGACTTTGGGAGTCTGATTGTTAATTGAGTCACCTTGAGAAGCTGCCTAACATCTCTGGGCTGTAGTTTCCTATCTGTAAATGAGAAACAAGCAGGTCCTTAAAAGGCTAGAATGAGATGACACAGTATAAGGCCTTCCCCTACCTGGCAGGCGGTGGGTAGCAGATGGCATGGGTATTGTTTTAGGGGGTGGTGGGATGAATTTTATGTCTTCTCCTGGTGTCTTAACTTTAGCAAATTCTCAGGAGTTGTGTCGATGGTCAAGTGCCTGCCAGACCCAATAGCCCCCAATGGAAGCCCAGCTTTCCCCCCAGTGGAGCCCCGGGCCCCGTGGGAACCTGCCTCCTCTCATGTTCATGGGCGTGGGCTTCTCATGCACTCTTCTTGCTCTTAGCAGTTGGAGCAGAAACCAGGAAAAATATTATTGGGGGTTCTACTTCATATATTCATATTCTTCATATTTTTATTATTTTATTATTTTGTATTCCTGGAAATATCTTCCATCTGTTGCTTGAAGAGCAAAAGCAGATGTTTTACCAAAAAAGGTCCACATTAGGGGCCAAGTTTCAAACTCCTTTTATATTGGAAGGCTCTGGTTTTCAGAGTGATGGGTGTAAGCTGCACACATTTGTCTTTCCTCATCCCTGTTCAGGGTCCTCTTGATTTCTCTGCCTTCAGAGCCCCAAGAAGAATGGGTTGTTGACAGTGAAATGAAGCGTCCGCATAACTCGGACCTGACTGTCATGGGTCTCATGGGTCTTTTTCTTCTTTTTCCCTCATCTCAAAGCCATGACTCCCTATTTTCTCACATAGGTTAGGTGTCCAACCACATCTTGGGCTTTCTGCACTTAGGCTGGAGTGAGCATTGGAATGTCTTCTACTCATGTGCTTGGTTAAGTGACACAAGTGTCATACATTCCTGCGTTCAACCCCAGATCAGCCACTCAGCAGCTGCGTAAACTTAGATTTCTTTGCCCCTCTGCGGTGTTTCTTCCTACATAAAATCTTTACATTTCAGGCAAGTACTACATTGCCTGGCACACAATAGGAGTGTTATAAATAAAAGCTGTTTTAATTTTTTTTTTAAATGAAAGCATACCTCTTATTGTTGCAGATGTCTTTATGAAAATTGTACTTTAAAAACTAAGATCAGATCAGTATTAAATGCCACTACCATCACCATCTATAATAATCTATAATAAAAGCATAATATGCTAATTATACCAGACATCCTTCCAGACGACCTTCTGGATGAAGCCAGGGCGGCAAGGGAAGCCTGGGTCCTGGGTGCCTGCCAGCTGCTGGAGGGAAGCCTGGGTCCCAGGTGCCAGCGGGAAGCTGGTGCCTGCAGCCAGGGGAAGGAAGGCCTACTCTTGCACAAATTTTGTGCATTGGGCCTCTAGTTATAATATAAAAACTTATCTTTCTCTACTCATGGTTGACAGTAGGTCCAGGATTGTTCTTCTAGTTTTCTACATTAGATTAAGTGATTGTCCCAAGGTCTCCTGCTGGTTCCAGGCCAAGGCAGGATTACTGTTAGGCCTGCCATCGGGCATCTTTACTGCATGGATTATCAGGACTCCTTGTTTTGTGAGACACCTTGTCACATAAAGGGCAGCCTCTTCTCTCAGTAGGCCAAGCCTGTAGTCCTCAGAACTGTAAACAAGAGGACCCAAAAGGGGGCTGGAATTCATTTTCCTGTGGCTCACCAGTGGCGACAGTGGTTTGTCCCATGCCTGCCCCCGTGCCTAGCTGGCAACTGACTAGAGTAAAGGATAGCTGCCCCTTTACAGAACACATGTTGGCTGCTTCCTGCCCCACCCCCCAGCTCTATTTCATTTTTTTTCATTGTTTTAAAAAAATATATTTTATTGATTTTTTTACAGAGAGGAAGGGAGAGAGATAGCTAGAAACATCAATGAGAGAGAAACATTGACCAGCTGTCTTTTGCACACCCCCCACTGGGGATGTGTCCACAACCAATGTACATGCCCTTGACCGGAATCGAACCTGGGACCTTTCAGTCCGCAGACCGACGCTCTGTCCACTGAGCCAAACCAGTTTCAGCCCAGCTCTATTTCGAGGTGGGGACTACCATCCCCATTTCACAGATGAGGCCATTGAAACTCACAGAGGTGAGAGGCCTCATCCAGTTTGGTGCAGATGGGAGTCCAACATAGATCTCATATGTCTGACTCGGGAGCTGTTTACCTGTGGCCATCAGCTAAAGTCAGGGACAGTGGTCCGGAGGAGGCCTCTCCTGTGGGCTGCCCTTCTGCTTCCTGGTTTTGGGTTGGTGGGCAAGTCAGCCTCAATTAAGACTCACAGGGAGCAAGCTGGCTCAGGGTGAGGGCTGCTTTCTTCACAAACTTCTCTGGCTTCAGGGGCCTGGGCTTCTGCTCCCCCCCCCCTCCCCCGCTCTCTGGAAATGCCTAATGGCCGCACAGGTTTCTTTCAGACGCCTCTTCCAGGGGCCAAGAATCCCAGGGCTAATGGAGCTGCCTCTGCCCTCAGAGAGCTGGCAGGGAGGCCTGAGGGGTGCTCAGGGCACTAACATGACTGCACATCTGCCAGGCACCAGGTGTGCTGCCCTGTCAGTAACACACCTGGTGGAAGGCCAAGAGACCAAGGCTCCAAGGTGAAGGGGCTCATCCAGGGAGGGGGCAGGGCCTTAATGGGGTCTGGCTGGCTCTGAGCCCCACAAGCATCGCCTCTCTTCTACCGCCCCTGCCCCTACATTCAGTTGGTGGGACCTTGAAATACTTTCACTCATGATTTGGATTTCCAAATTCCGTGCTGGTTTAGTTGAAAGAGGCCTGGTTCTAGCCCTCTCTAGAAGTGTGCCTGGGCAGATCATGTCACCTCCTTGGGTGTTATCAAGGTCACGTGGCATGAGGGTAAATGTCCTAGCAAATGACAGGTGCTCAGTTGAGGGAAAGTGTCCCAGACCTGAACCCGTGGACATGGATAACTGAAAAGAAGCTGTGCCTTTGGCGGTGTTTTGGGTTTTTTTGTCTTGCTCTGAAAGCACCAGAGCCATGATACTGGGAGAGGTAAAGAGGCGGGCTTTGTTTTGTCTTTAATCCAGTATCACGGTGTGATTTCTCCATGTGGAGCATTTCACCAAAGTGACTGCAATCTCACCTTCCTCTGCTCTCTGCACTGTTCATGCAGGCCATCCGGGTGTTCTTCATGCTCCGTTCGCTGTCACTGCAACTGCGAGGGGAGCCGGAGACCCAGTTGCCACTGACTCGGGAGGAAGATCTGATTAAAACCGATGACGTCCTAGATCTCAGTGAGTTGGCCTCTGAGTCACAGCAGGGGGGACACTGTGGTGCTGACTCACACGTCACTGCAAGGGTCGGTGCATGACCTGCATGTGTACTGGGGTTGATCTGTGACTTTGAGGTAATGGAGTGTGCATGTCCCATAAAACTTTTGAAGAAGGGGACCCAGATTCTAGGCATTTTGATTCTGGGCTTGTGGGTTCTGCTCTCTGGAGGTTAAGCAGAGCTGTGCAAGTGGTTTGCTCAAAGAACTGTGCCAGGGCTTTGGGGATCCTCATGCTCCAGGATCTCAGTCCTCCATGCAATCATAGCAGCATCAGTTTGATTGGTTTTGTCTATTAAGGGTTTTCTGTATGAAGCCAACAATTAAAGGGTTCTGCTGCTTTAAGAAAAGAAAAAAAAAAAGGGCTTTCAAAAATGCAAATCACACCCTGATCAGGTCTCAGTTGATTGTAGCATCATCCCGTACACCAAAAGGTTGCGGTTCAATTTCTGGTCAAGGCGTATACCTGGTTTGCAGGTTCAATCCCCAGTCGGGGCATGCATGTGGGAGGCAACATATCAATGTTTCTTTCTCTCTCTCCTATCTCCCTCTTCCAAACATATTCTTGGGTGAAGATTAAAAAACAAAAGGAAGAAAATCACCAGTATTTAGACATGATAAAAGCTTTGGAGGCCTGAGAACTGTGCTCAACCTCAATCCTTGGGTTATTTAATACATTGCAGCATAAGGGTGAGATTTAAAGGAGACAAAAGGTATAAAGCCTGATTATTTTACCATAACCCTCCTCGTGTGTCTTGTGTCTAGGTAGCTCTCTCTTTCCTCGATTTGCTAGGGGGCAGACAAGATGGTTTTCTGATTCTTAAAGGCATTGTAGTATATTCAGACTCTTTAGTAATAATGGACAGAAAACCCAACTTGACCAAATGTGCCTAGCATATAACTATTCTAAGGAAATTGTTTTCAGTATCACTCATGAATTAAATGAGGTGAAGCATATGAAGAGCAGAGTAAGTGGTTATTGTGAGTTTACCTGGCTATGTAGCTTCTTTTTCTGTATCTTTGTTTATGTTCTTTTCTCCTTCTTTTTCTTGGAAGAACAAAGAAGCTATGTTCTCTCTGTGTTCCTTTGGCTTTTCACTTTTGAGAAATGGCCATAGTAGATGCTGTAAGCATTTAAATTGATGGAGTTTTCTAGAGAACTACAAACCAGTCTTTTTTCTGATTTGATCCAAAGAAAGAAAGGGAAACAGCTTGTTTTAAAGGGCTACTGTATTCTATTTGAAAATGGAATTAAATTTTATGCTGGGAACTCACATTTCCTCCCTCTCCCGCCAAGAATAGCATGCTGAAATAAAGGTTAAAAGTATTTCACTTATCAATTTTAATTGATTAGATTGCTAGTTGAGATCACTTAACTGAGCCTTTTGGGGTGGTTGGCCATTAAGAAAGTAACGGCTGTCTATCTTTACCCAGTCTAGTTGCAAATTACGTCTTTGTTAAAGAGGATGCTACCCAGAAAATATTAGGAATTATGGATTTTGCAAGTACCTGGCACAGAATAAGATCTACATGTGTTGTTGACTTGTGTTTGGGGTGGGGGGTGGGGTGTGTGATTATTTTTAAATGCTGGAGCCTCTCACTTTCCACTGGGGAAAAATTAGCATACGTTGCATTTCACAAAATGTCCTCTGTGTATACAAAATGAAGGATGCATCATAACATAGGTGAAAACATTTGTATTTACTAAATGATTGGAAGCTGGGTACATTTCTTCTGAGCTTAGTGTTTTGTTTCCCTAACAACAACAACAACAACATCAACAACAACAAAAAGGAAGCTGACTCAGGGAGAAATGTTTGGGGTTGGTCAGCTTTTATCTAAGGTAATTTGGCCTGACACACTTAAAGAAATGCTCACTCTGCACTGCAGGAAGAGGTGACAGAAGAGTGTATTTACTAAGCTTGTCACACTTTGATAAGAAACCAAGTTTAAGAGTACTCTGGAGCCATCCACATGCCTGCTGACCAGCAGCAGGCCTCTAGGCCTAGTACGGCAGGTGAGCTCTGGTGGGGTGACTTCTGACAGGGATCATCAAAGATGCATCAACCTGTTATCAGTCCTCAAGAAACTGCTTAAAACCTGTCTTGTTTTCACTGTAGAGAGTGGTGGGGGTAGAGGTTGAAAAAACTGGCCACCAAGGAGGGAGGGAGAGAGGAAAGGAGGGGAAAGAAAGGAGAAAGAGAGGGAAGGAAAACAGAAGAAAGAAAGGGGAAAGGGAAGAGAAGATAGGCTAGATAAAGTAGATTAGATTTCTTTAGAGAGAACAATATGAATCTCCATAAACCCAGTCTTCAGCTTTAAGTTATTACCTGTTTGCACAATCTCATTATATTTGCCCCACATTTCTCAAATTATAATATGCCCCCAACAGTGTATAAAAGCTAATAATAGATATCATATTATTGCATCATATTATTTCATAAATACTTATAATAGATAGGGACTTTGGTTAATCTTTTAATTGAATTGGTTGCCACCATTGCAAATTTCGAGCTTCTCCAGCCCCTCTGCCCCTCTGGGTGGAGTCAGACCTGGGGCCTGTGCTCTCCTGTGTTCTGCCACCCTGGGCCCATTGACATCTGTTTGCAGTCTCTGGCATAGTTGCAAGTAATCAGTTTAGTGACCTTGCTTGGGATCTTCATGCTTGTGAGGCCCAGTGACCTTGCCTTTAAGATGATTCTAAAGACTTTGCAAAGGTTGTTGAAGATCAAATGAGAACATGCATGTAAAGCACATACTGTGCTTGGCACATAGTAGATGCTCAGTGAACGAGAGCTGGCTGTCGTAGCTGCTAAGTATCGAGATGTAACTCATACTGTGGGGCACCAAGGGGTGGTGGGCCTTTTCTGCTTTAACAATGTTCAAACCAGTACATCGCTTGTATGATGGCAGTGCTTTCCGGGCAAGAAAGGCATTCTGGCTGCTTGGGCTGAGATGAAGAGAGCTGCACCTCCTGTCTAGGCAAGGCACACTGCACATTCACCAATAGGCCTGCGGACCAGCAGTCCTCGGAGTGCTCTGAGGACAAGCAGGCTTCACGGAGATGCCAGGTTCCTGCCTGGCTTGGTATTGGAGCCTTTCGAAAGAGTGTTGGCTTTTCACATAACATGGGAAATCATGGTAGGGGAAGTTCCCCCATAATCCAGACATTCTAGGGAGATACCAGGCAACCGGCATCCACAGGAACCATCTGGTTTCCTTCCCAGCCTTATCCACGTGGGCACTCACTTTTATTTTTTATTTTAAAAAATATATATTTTATTGATATTCTACAGAGAGGAAGAGAGAGGGATAGAGAGCTAGAAACATCGATGAGAGAGAAACATCTATCAGCTGCCTACTGCACCCCCCTCACTGGGGATGTGCCCGCAACCAAGGTACATGTCCTTGACCGGAATCGAACCCGGGACTCTTCAGTCCGAAGGCTGACCTCTATTCACTGAGCCAAACTGATTTCAGCTGCACTCACTTTTATATAGTTTAGCCTTGCCTTGTGCTGCATGCTCCTGGTTGTATTCTGATTTTTTTAAAATTATTTTTTAAAATATATTTTATTGATTTTTACAGAGAGGAAGGGAGAGAGATAGAGAGCTAGAAATGTCGATGAGAGAGAAACATTGACCAGCCGCCTCTTGCACACTCCCTACCGGGGATGTGCCCGCAACCAACATACATGCCTCTGACTGGAATCGACCCGGGACCTTTCAGTTCGCAGACCGACGCTCTACCACTGACCCAAACCGGTTTCGGCTGTATTCTGATTTTTTAAACCTACTTACAAAATCCATTCAGTGAAATCCATCCATTTGTTCAATTATCGATACATTGAGTGCCTGCTGTATGCTAGGCACAGTGCTGGGAGCTGGGCTGTGGCAGGGAGCTAAAGCCAGACTTGGTCTCTGCTCTTATGATGTTTCTAGTTTGACTGGGTAGAAGGGAGCTAAGAGAGGAGCAGGAGAAAAGGAGCATGACTTTTCAGGTGGTTCTGTGGAGGAAATGAACAGGGTCCTATGCTAGGGAGTAAGTAGGAGGAAAGACCTGGTAGGTTGGTTAAGGAGAGGTACTGTATAGGAGGGACCAGGAGATTTTTTTTTTTTTGACCAGGAGATTCTATCGGAAAATGCAAGATGAGGCCCACCAGTTAGAGGTGATAGAGAGGTGAGGCTGAAAGATGGGACAAAGCTTGGTGAGTCCTAAGATCCTAAAGGAGGTAAGGAGCAGGGCAGGGACGGCCTAAGATGAGCCAGATCTTAATTCCAGTGTAGAGGGAAGCCATTAGCCCTAGCTGGTTTGGTTCAGTGGATAGTGTCAGCCCACGGATTGAAGAGTCCCAGCTTCAATTCTGGTCAAGGGCACATGCCCGGGTTGCAGGCTCAATCCCCAGAAGGGGGCGTGCAGGAAGCAGCCAATCAATGATTCTCTCGCATCATTGATGTTTCAACCTCTCTCTCTCTCCCTCTCCCTCTTTCTAAAATAATAAAATATATATATTTTTTAAATCCCCAGCCCTGGTCAGGGTACATCAGGGAGGCAACCAATCGATGTCTCTCTCTCACACCAATGTTTCTCTCTCTGTCTCTCCCTAAACTCAACAAAAAACAGACAAATAAAAATTATAGGAAAGCCATCAGAGGGTTCCTGCAGGGACATGTATCCTACAAATGCACTTCTAGTACTGTAACTGCCAGGTCAGGCGGTCCCAGCAGGGGCCTGTGAACCATGCCAGGGCTAGAGAGGCCCCAGAGTTTAGGGTTATGAGCATGAACTTGGGAGCCAGACTGTGTCCAGGGTGAAATCCCAGCTTTGCTCCTTGCCACTTGCCAGTGTGTGACCTTTGACCAGTAATTTAATCTCTTGGTGCTTCAGTTTCCTCATCTGTAAGATGGGAGTTGTTGGGAGGAATAAATAAGTTAGTATTTATGAAGTGCCTATAACACTGCCTGG